CCCTCCTCTGCCCCCGCTCCAGCAGGTCCCTGTCTGTCCTGTGCTGGGGGCCTCCGAGCTGGACGCAGTGCTGCAGGGGGGGTCTCAGCAGAGCGGAGCAGAGGGGCAGGATCCCCTCCCTGGACGCTGGCCATGCTGCTGGGGCTGCAGCCCAGGGTAGGGTTGGCTTCTGGGCTGCCAGCGCCCCTGGCCGGCTCATGCCCAGCTTTTCGTCCCCCAGCACCCCCAGGTCCCTCTGGGCAGGGCTGCTCTTGATCCTTTCTTCCCCCACATGCACCTGGGAGACTGGGAAAAAAGATCTAGAGGAAATTACCTTCTTGGTAGAACTGTGTTTGAGCTTCCAGCTCAAAGAGGAAAGCAAGGAACCAGGTTTAGAGCAGCTTATTTTGGAGAAGGATGGTGCCTGCAAGGGCTGAAGGGCTCTGCTTCTCATTGCTATCAGCTGGGCAGAGTTGTCCTTGTCTTCTCTGTGGCAGAGATGAGACTCGTTTCAAGCCTTGCAGCCCATGGGCTCTCCTAGCTCATTTTCCTGGCTGGGGAAAGACATGATGGTTTCCCAGAGCCCCATGAAAATATTCCCTGTTGGTGGTGGATTTGTTTTGGTCTTGGATTTGTTTTGGGCCTGGGCAGTGAGGAAACACCAAGATACCCTCTGGGAGCTCAGGGGGTGGGAATGGGCCTTCTAGACAACAGGGTGGTGGATGGGTTTGGTTTCCGTTCCTGCTGCTTTTTATTTAGAGGGAGGCTGTTGTGGTAGGCAATACCATCTGCTTTGCTTTGCTGAGGGTTTTTCCTCTTCCAGACCCAGTATTTTAGCTCTTGGAAGATTCTTCAGCCTGGGATGGGGGGTCCTGCATTATCCCACCAAGGAATCTGGCTTGGCTGGGGACTGCAGCTGGGATGAGTCCCTCTGGGGTTGGTTAGGAAAATGAGTGTCTCCTTTCTCACCACAATGCCATGCATCACCTGGAGTTTCTGTTCCCAAGCCCTTGACCCCTTGGCTTGTCTCATGCTTGAAGGGGCTCAACAAACCACGCATGGTTTCCTGGTGTTGGGCTGGAGCAGCAAGAACCCCACCTGCTGGGTTGAGTTTCTCTCCCTCGCTGGGGACCTGCCCAGTTTTATGCCTCTGCTCAACCTTGAGGAGAATGAAAGCCCTTGAGGAGCTTGTGGTTAACAGGCACTTAATTGATTCTGAATAATCCTGACAAGTTTTTGCAGTCCTTGTGGTAATCGCTTCTCTTTCCAAGTGAATAGCTGGGGCTAGGTCTGTATGGATGCCAGCTGTACATTGCTTGGCTGCATTCTTTCACTTCCAGCTCATGCTTCCCTTTTAACCCTCCCATTGCCGGCTGCTCTGCAGAAGCTGCGAATGGGGATGGGGTTTTTCACCTTCCTTTCCTTGCAGACAGCCTGTTCGTCACCTTCTCTAGGTCTGTGGAACCTAACATAGAATCGTCTAGGTTGGAAAAGCCCTTTGAGATCATCAAGTCCAATTGTTAACCTAACCCTGCCATCCCACCACTAAACCATGTCCCTAAGAACCTCATCTACCCTTTTAAATACCTCCAGGGATGGGAACTCGACCACATCCCTGGGAAGCCCCTTCCAGCACCTGACAACCTTTTCGGTGAAGAAATTTTTCATAATGTCTAACCCAAACCTGCCCTGGCACAACCTGAGGCCGTTTCCCCTTGTCCCATCGCCCCTTCCCTGGGAGCAGAGCCCGGCTCCCCCCTCCTCTCAGGCAGTTGTAGGGAGCGATGAGGGCTCCCCTCAGCCTCCTCTGCTCCAGGCTGAACACCCCCAGTTCCCTCAGCAGCTCCTTGTAAGACTTTTGCTCCAGACCCCTCACCAGCTTTGTGGCTCTCCTCTGGACATGGCCTCACCAGTGCCCAGCACAGGGACACGGTCCCTGCCCTGCTGGCCACACCACTCCTGATACAAGCCAGGATGCCGCTGGCCCTCTTGGCCACCTGGG